GGGCGGGGGGGGGGGGGGGGGGGGGGGGGGGGGGGGGGAGGTGGCATCTGCCCTCCCTGATGCCTCTACAAGTAATGTTTTATTTACCCATTACATTGAACATGAAAAATTAACTATGTATAACCATTAAAGCAACTTCCCAAAATATTTATTTCAAACCCCTACCCTTCCTAGATAGCAAAAGTGTATCGAGGATGAAAAAAGTGGGGGGCATGGAAACTCTTGCATTGGTGCATAAACTTTTCAGTTCCCTTTTATCATCCATGTATTCAGTTGCATCCTTCTATTCCCCTCTCTCCCCCCCTCACCGGTTCCATTTCATCAGAAACTGACTGAAATTTCAAGGAAGTTGGCATGAGAAAGGAAAAACAAGTATATGTACCCTTTTAGGATGTGGGTATTTGTCAGGCATTCTCACCATATGTAGACATGTATATATGGACATATATACATGGACATATATGGACAAGATGTGACATGGCATATATGGTGCAATTGTATGAGCCAATATCTGAAATTATATGGGGCCATATATTTTCATTCTCATATGATTTTATGTGACTTCTATCAAACCCCATATATGTTCATATAGGAATTGTATGTTCATATATGCCCCTTTCATGTTAGACTGGCTAAATATATGACCATTTCATATATGATCTTATATGAAATTTTCACATGGGTTATTTCAGCTTTAAGTTCACACCCACTCATTTTTGTGACATGAGATGCACATAAAACAGTTTTGTACCTGTGGTCACCATTACCTATGGTCACTGTAGCTTCATACTTGCTGTGTTCTCCTTTGGTGAGGCAATTTTTTGTGGCAGGGAAAGAAAATTTTCAGGAGACATGAATTTTAGAAGTAAGCATTTAACTGCCAGGTTGGAATGTGTTTGCACAAGTTAAAAGTTTCATGCAATCTGCCTAGAACAGGGGTCCCCAAACTGTTTTACTTGAGGGTTACATTTAAGAATTTTACTTGCCTTGGTGAGCCTGACACATGCAGCATTAATGGGACTTGAGCTTGCTTTGCCTGACAAATATCACTGAATAACATTGTGTAGCTTAGATTCAAACCAGTTTTACTCATAATTCATGGATGGCTGTAGCAAAAATTTTTAAATGTGTATATATTGCCAATTGGCAACACAAAGCAGTGAAGGGTCTGCATGAACTGTAGAGCTTAGAACTGGACATCCCCAGGCTGCATATCATCCCACCATGGGCCAGATCCGGCCAGTGGACTGTTTGTTGGGGACCCCTGGCCTAGAACATCAATCTACTTATGCAGTCTTCCACTGAAGGCACCCATGGCATGCTGCAGATGTTTCCAAAGGATGAATGTTCTGGATTTCACCCTGTATGATGAATCCATTATCGTGTAGGTGTTCTTCATAAATACCTTGTTAGTCCACACTTGACTCAGTTTGGGATGAAAAAGCAGTACTAGATTACAAAGTTATAAGGGTCTATCAAAATGTTTTGAAAGTGGGTTTATCTAAAAAATTAGAATCACTACAATTTTGTACTGTGTGCCTTATGAGATTACTGTCTTCACTGTGTTATGGGTAAAATTATCATAAAAGTACTACTACATCTTTGTATTGTTTGTTTGTTTCCTTGCAGGTTCAGTGACATTTTCCAGTTTTCATGGTGAATTTGGAGTGCATGGCAAATGCACTCCAAATTTGTGTTAAGCTGAGAGAAACTGTGGAAAAGACCCAAAGTTTGTTTGTGAGAAAGATTCATGATTGCTTGTAACAGTGTATTGGTGGGTGGTTTAAGTATTCCAAGTAAAGATTCCAAGTATGGTGACTTTCAAAAGTTGCATCATCAACCAATTCCTACTGGCTGATGGACAACCTTCATAAGGTTTATTGTCAGTGCTGCTATTCTCTTGAAATCATTTGAACTACTTGTACACTGTTGCAAGCTATAGTGCATTGTTTCTACACATGGCTTTAGGCATATCATGGATCTCTTTCACAGTTTCCTGGAGCTTATTATGGAACTTAACCCTCATCCGGGCAAGCTTTTTTATAATTATTCGTGGCAAGGTGAGTCTGTCAGACTCACATGTAAAATAAGGCCATTTGCTGCAGTTACGGTATGTATTTCTTTGTAAATTTCTTTGTATTTTTGAAGAGCACGAACAAGGTGACAAAGTCATGAAAGCTCATTTTTCTACGAAAAAAATAATGACAGTAATAGACCAAAATATGTCGTAGTGAGTCCAGCGGACTCACCTTGCCCGAATTAGGGTTAATAAAATCCATAATTTGAACTTCATTTCATCATTAGATAAATGTCATTATCTGTAACGAGACAAAATGTACATAGCTGTAATTGTATTGGGTCGATCGGAAAGTTCTGGCTGTTTCAAGAATTTTCCATTTAAAAAATTTCTGGAACTTTCTCGAACCTTCCACAGTAGTAGTATATAAAGCGCGTGTGGGTGTGATTACACAGCAGTTGCTTAGTCGTTCAAAGCCTATAACCATGACTTCCAAAATCGACTTTAACGAGACCGCCCAACGTCAGTGCCTTCTTTACAACTTCCTATCTGGCATCACAGCAGTCAAATCAAGTCATTGCATCTGCACCGCATTTGGCCAAGGTGCAGTTTATGAAAGGACAGCGCGACGATGGTTCGATCGTTTCCTGTCTGGAAATTAGAGCCTCGTGGATGAGCCCAGGTCAGGCTGCCCGTCTGAATTCGATGACAAGCAGTTGCAGCACACAATGGAAGCTGATCCGAGGCAAAGTACCTGCAACTTAGCGACAGCACTTGGCTGCGCCCAGTCCATGACGCACCTGGCTGCAATCGGCAAGAAGAGCAAGTTTGGTCAGTGGGTACTCCACGATCTGACCGACCGCAACAGCAAACGCTGTGCTGAGTTGTGCACTTTGCTGCTGTCATACGAGCACGCAAACAACTGGCTGGATTCTGTAGTCACTGGGGACAAAAAGTGGATGCCATACGTCTACTGACGCAGGCACCAGTGGGTCGATGCCGATGCCCAGACAGAGCCAGAGCCGAAAGGGGTGACCTGCACCCCTGAAAAGTCATGTCGTGCATTTGGTGGAACGTGCAAGGCATGATCGACTTCGAGCTGCTCCTACCTGATACCAGCATCACTGCTGCCTACTACTGCAATCAGCTGCAGAAGCTTGCTGACAAACTCTGCACAGTGAGGCCAGGGCACCGTTGTGTTCAGTTCCTGCATGACAATGCAAGGCTGCATGGTGCGAAGATCACACGGCAGAAACTGCTGGATCTGGGCTGGGAGGTTCTGCCCCACCCTCCATATAGCCCAGATCTGGCGCCAGCCAACTACCATCTCTTCTGTGTTCTGGATGACCATCTTTGCCAGAAAAGGTTCAACAATGACGCCGAGGTCGAAAAGTGGCTGACTGATTTCTTCTACTCACAGCCAGCTCAATTCTACAGGGATGGAATCAGGAGTCTGCCTGATTGTTAGCAAAAGGTGATTGACTGTGATGGTGATTACTTCGTTGAATTAACTTTTTTGCTTTTTTAAAAACTTGGTTGTATGGAAGTTCTCGAAATGGCCAGAACTTTCTAATCGACCCAATAGTTCTGCAATAATATGACTCCTGATGCAGTTAAGACACATCTCTCAATTGACACTTGATGATTGTACTGTTTCTAGCTATTGAGATGATAATTCATTGTAAAAACATTTCAATAGGCTTTTGTATTTGCTGAAAAATATTGGGAATTAGTCCATGGATATAGAAGAAATTCTGATTGAAATTTTGGCAGAACCTACAGGATTCAGCATGTGAAGTTGGTGGATATTGTAGGAAAATTCAACCTGATCCAGCCTGAAAGTATCTCCTTAAAGCAGCCAATATGTTTAATGATAGTGATTCCAGATGTTTCAGATTCATGCATTTGGTGTTTACAGCTGGAAGTGTGTCACATATCACTGCTTGAATGATTAATTTTTCCTGGAAAGTCAGCTCAAATCAAATTAGACCTAATCTATTCTTCCACAGAGCATATTTGGTAGCATCAAGAACTACTTCACTACACCACCAGCAGGACCATCTACTGGGGGCAGTAAAAACCCTCCTAGTTCTGGATCATCACAAAATGAGGGTTCCCAAAAGAATGCCACAGCTTCTAAAGGCTTGACATCCATTTTGGAATCTCCATCATCATCATCAGCTGCTGCAGATTATCATCCAGGTATATAGAGGTGCCATGGTTGTTAAAATGAGAAACAGTGGTCATTTTGACCACTATATTAAAGTATAAAGTCATTGCTCTGTAAAAAAAATTTTTTAACATGTTATTTGATATGTTCAAAATGTGGATATTAGATAAGAAAAGTAAAAAATGCAGAGGCCCTTAGTTGCCAAATGAGCAGAGTAAAGTACATTTAAAAACAGCAAGTGGTCAAAATGACAAATTCAAAAATAATTATTTGTGGAGTAATTGCTTTATTTGTAGTGTTTAATAATAAAAGAAAATTGTAGGTTGCATGTTTTACTTTTTGCATGATCTGTATTCAGGGTATTATGGGGGATAGGAAACTAGAAAGTTACTAGCCTGTCAATAAGCCATGTCACAATTCCTATAGCTTAGTGTGCTTGAATTGGTTTAGTGTAAGGGCCCTGATACACCAGGCAAGAACTTGCTAGTAAGGACTTGCCTCCACTTGCTCGAAAGTTGTCAAGCATCTGTGAAATGAAATTGAAAAGAGCAAAAACTCACACCTACTGTAGATGTCAGAGAGATCTTTCACAGGTCATTGTCTTTGTATGCCAACAGACCTTCACCTAGGACTAGACTCTGTATACCTGCAGACCCAGATTTAGGCATAATTTTGTGTGGCATGGCACCACAGCTCTCCATTGAAACCACGGAGGCCCTTTTTACATGATCAAACTTGTCTCTGGAAGTTATTATGTAGGAATACCATGACCACTCCATCAAGGATCATGTAAGGAAGCCATGATGATATACCCTATTATGAGAGCAATATCTCCCTTGATTTCACTTCGAATGCACAAGGGACATTTCGGACAAACAATTTTCATTAAGAAATGAAGACCAAGTCTGCTCCTACAAAATGGGGGGGGGGGGGGGGCACCATGAATAGGGCCAACCCTAAACCAAACAGCAAGGGGCAAGGAGTTTTCTACAGTCCATCCCCCCCCCCCCTAAGCAAGGGGCCCCAGGCAGTCACCTGCCCCTAAATCCAGCCCTGGCCTTGAGCCTCACCCCATTTGGTTCCTACAGGGTCTTCTTGACTTATCAGAGCGACTTGCTAACGTGCCTTCTAGGATTTTGAACCAAGGGGAAGTGGAAGCAAGTGCTAGCTAGCAAGTTCTTGCCTCGTGTATCAGGGCCTTTAAACTTTCCTCTTGTTTTCAATAAATTGAACCTGGTGCCCAATACAGTTTGCATTTCTGGAATTTACAACTTGCTGTCTATCTATGGAGATTGTAGTTCATGCAGTTACTGAAGATCTAAAATATAGTATTTACAAAACAGGTTTGAGGAGTCGTGGATATGGAGAAGACCAGAATGTGAATTCATTTGATGCTCAACTGGATGATCATCTTGGTGAGTTCCATGTAGCTGATCCGTCATTTTGCTACATTTTTTTGGAATTGTGATGGGTGAATTGCAAGCCTGAGTATCTTGTTTTGTGTAGGGCAGTTCTAGAGTATTTGGGACAAAAGTGGTAAAAAATTGATTTACAAAACTGTTATCTTCTGTTTCCTGTGTTGTATGGGTACTAAACTTGAACCAAATAAGCTCCATTAAATGTTCATTACCTGAAGTGGAATGGTTTTTCATTGCTCCTGCACCATTCCATTTGAATTAATTTAACACTTGCTTGGTGAATCTTGCTTTTTGTAACTAAAAGAGCATGATTTAGACGGAGCCGATGGATCGGCGCGCTGAGCGTATAAGGGTTAAACAGTATTTCACGGCCACTCTTAGTAAGAAAAAAATGGTATGTGATGGGTTAAGATATAACATTGTTCATGATTTAATTTTGAGTCAGGTGTTATGTCAATAACTTTGAAACTGCCCTGTAACATTTGAATCTTGATGTTGAATCTCAGAATGACCCTTTATTTCTGTCATTGAGTATGTATTCACATCCATAATTCAAATATGGCTCCAGAAAAATTCATTTTTATGTGGAGTCCTGAATCCAGTCAGAAAATCCTAGAAAAGTTCCTCTGGTCCCATGTCTCATGGGAGGAAAGTTCAGGCAACAGATGATAATTTAAATCTTGCATTGTCACCTATTGCTATTTTCATGTGTGCAAATCATTGTTTGAAAAGAGCAAACAATGAAAATTGTGCCATATTCTGAATCAGATTCAAGTCTTCTCAAGTAAAATTGAAGCCAATTCTCATGTGTATCGCCAATAAATCAGATGCCTTACCATCAATGTGTCCTAATCTTTATGAAATGTTGAGTAAGATTTGCCTATTACTGAATTAGAAAGAAGTTTTGCATGATTTCCCATGCCAGTCAAGACTTTTATTGTCTTTTAGAGAATATATGTATCTGGGATGTTGAACACGATACCACAAGTTTCAAGGTGAGATAGGAGCAACTTACACTTTCAAATATTGTAATAAGAGAAATTAGTGCTGATCTCAAAGACATGAAAGGTAAAATTCCACCAGAAATGTGTTCTATATCATTGATCTAGAGGTTCATCCTATTGGCTTTCCACTAGCCTAAGGCCAAAAATTTTCTTCATTTGTGCAGAAGATTCATTTCACCTCTTCTCGTGAAAAATAACTCATGTCAATACCATGATACCATTTTAGCCTTTGCATATTACAAAGGCAGCTCCACAAAATCTCTGTGGAAGTTCACATGATTACAAGATGGGCTTTGCTTTTGTGCAATAATATATGCTTCATTATTGTGGTCTTTCTTCCAGGGGAGATGTCTGCTGGTTTATCTAGATTGAAGGGACTTGCAAAGGGGCTTGGAGATGAAATTGAGGATCAAAATAGCATGCTCGACCGCATGGCAACTCGTACTGAGGGTCTGGATTGGAAGGTGAAAAAGCAGAATAAGGAAATGAACAAGATCTTGAAACGATGAAGGCTCCTGTGATACCCTGCTCCTTGAAAGTCCAACAAGTTTTATCATTCACTATTCCAGTATGGGTCATATGTCATGGAAATCCAATACAGATCTTTTTTTCACATAAATTGGTATCTGACATGCAATATCTTGTTGGCAGTTCTTACATTTGATGACATTCAGCCGTGAGTATTCTTCCTAAAAGTCTGATATTTGGGGATGTGTTATACCTGTTGTAGTACCCTCTTTCAGGCATGGCATTTACTGCAGCAAATGCCATGCCTGAATATCAAGAGGATTGTGATCTGTATCCCTGAAAAGGTGGCGTATTTCCACAGTTCAAAAACGTATTCCCTCTTGCTTGACATGTTCAGAAGGCATAAAGGGACAGTCAAGCCACATTTTGCAATTCACACTTTCTCCCATCAATACTGGGCTTTCCACTCATTCATTCATTATTCCAGTATTATTGAGATTTGTTCCTATTCTTGTAATAAGAAAACCATCCTGGGCAACCTGTCCCACTAGTGCACAAGGGATTGACATAACAAATTTAGGAAATACTGGAAGGGGGGTTTACATCACGAACTATGCCCTCTGACCTACCCCCTCAGCCATGCTCAGGAACCTCCATTGCTCCTCAATGACATCCTCCTATCAAACGGTAGTGATTTTATTTTCTGTAAAGAAACCTCCAGGGGCACTTCTTGTCCTTTATCAGTGGCGGCTCGTGGGTAAAAAAATTGGATAGGCAGCAGTAGTGAAAAAAAAAAAAAGAAGGGGGGGGGTGCGGTCACCCCCAAATGATTCCTTTGCACCCATATGATCCCCATTTCTAACCATATTGACCAATTGAGCATCCTCTTATGATAGTAGCAGGCACATTCGCTCCTCTCTCAACCTCGCTGAGCATCCCCTCCCCCACAGGGGCGGATGCAGAAATTTTTCATAGGGGGGCAGTTCCCAAGTTCCTACCTACCCTTGATTACAACTTGAGATAACTATGGCATCCTTGAGTGCATGATTCCTGTAAGACTCCAGTTAATCATATCATATTTGTCATAGCAATTTGGCATCTGCATGTTGGGGCCAAAAAGGGTGGAGAGACATCCCAGATAGCCAATCTTCATTGGGCCAAGCATGGCACATCATTGTCAAAGTGCTTGGGCTAACCTTGGTCACCAATAATGGTCCAATCCTGAAATGTCTCGTTGGCCAGGGGAAGGCAATTCAATTTAGCCATGAATGGCCTAATATTGGAAAATTATTTGGGCTTTCTTGGCTGTCAACAATGCCCCAATAAATCTCACCTGCAAGATATTGGCCTATGAATTTTCACTTCAATAATAGCATGCAATATACTTGTTATAGTACATAAGATGAGCAAAGGCATCCCTTGAATATACCCAATATGGTACATTAGCAGTAATGCTCCACGTGTTTTCTTGTCCAAATATGTATACACAGATTCAACTCATACACATCATCCAGGAAAGTTGGAGATGGAAAAACTTCACAGCTAATAGGACATCAACTCAAGGTTCTGAGGCTCCAGCCAGATGAAACTGCACTACTCCAGCATACGGTTCTTATTTGGAATATTAGCTTGTTTAATTCCTGGGCTCCATGTATCTGTCTCAAATATGGAGATAATACATGAAGCATGCTGGCTTTAACTGATTGCTTTAATGAGACATGACAAAATATATGGTGAGGTACTAAGTACTGCTATGAAGGATAAATCTAGGGAGGGAAGGAAGGGTATTTTTAGGTACTGTGTGAAAAGCGAGCTTGCTGCCATCTAGTGGCCTAGAGGAGAACTTCACTTCCCTGAAAATTCCAAATGCAGCTAAGGCACATTGGGGAAACATTGATTCGTCAATATTGCCTACAGCTGATATTAGCTGATAACAGCAAGCCAATCTGGAGACTTAATTGGGCCTGTGTCTGCCTATGTGGTGTAAATAATGGCAAACCAGCCTAGAGACATGAATGGGCCTATGTCCTCCACCAATGAAGATGGCTAGCCAAGCATGCCTACCCATGCTGACCATCTGCCGACATTGCCATTGTTGGGCCAAGCATTTTGGCAATGTGGGCAATATTGTATTCACCATCAATGGTGTAGTTTGCCCAATGTGAAGAGGAAGTAGGAAGATGGGAGAAGACCCATTGACATGAAAAACAAAGGGGGAGATGCCCCACATGGGATGTGTGAAATAACTAGTTTCAGTTCCTGAGAGTAGATGAGTTCAGCATGAGGTGTGTACATTGGAGTATCCCCATGGGCCTGATTGGGTCCAAAAGCCAAATCAAGTCAAACAAAGATGTGCCCTGAAATACTTTCACCTTCCATCTTGGCTCCACTCAAGATCCATCCAATACCTTCTCACTGCCTAATTCCTGCAGCTGCCTTAATATGCTAACTTGCTGTCATCTACCCTATCCATATACCTTTTTAGTTGGTCAGTGTATACTCCCTCACTGCTCAATGGATATCTTCACTCCTTTGGCAATGAGCCACCATGTAATTGTATCATTCTGGCATTTATTTATTCATGTTACACCGTTCTTGTTCTTACTACATATTGATTTTGTGCCTTCTTTGGGCTTGCACTCTTGGTAGTAAATTTATTTTTTAGGAATGCTATTTAAGGGGGTGGGACATGATTAAGGGTGCAAGTTCAGTCTGGGTCTGAAGTCTGCACTTTGGGTCTAAAGGAGCATTACCATGGGATTAACTCTAACCATCCTATAGACAAGTCCTCCTTTGGAGGCTGTGGACAGAAAAGTGCAACAAGTTTTGATATTTCAATGATTAGTAACCTTATATTTGATGAAAGCAGGGCATAGGGCTCTTATGCCAAAACCAGAAACCTCAAATTTTCTCATAATCTCCTTTATATGGGGCATCTGGGAGGGGCAACAGTTGAGTCACATATACCTGGGAGAGTATATATAGACAAAATTTCACTACTATTTCACCACTCATCTATAGAGATTGTAGTGAAATTTTGGAAAATGGAAAATACCATTTTCAGTCTATTGATATTGGTTATGTTAGATCCCCCCTCAGAAATACAAATTTATCAAATATTGGCTAAATTCCACATTGGTAGCATCCCTACCTAGAATCCAATCATGGCCCCAAAGAACAATCACATGTGCCTACCCTAACATGGTTCAAAATTCACATTCAAGGTAAATGCATAGAGCAATTTCATCAGCAAATAAAAAACAAAATATTTCCACAACTGCTGGGCTTGAAAACCAGAAAGAGATGGTCAAGTAAGGGAAAAAGTAATCCAGAACCCAGCTATTTAGACTGGTGAGGCTATGATAGGATTTTGGCACAGGCTCATTTGTAAAGCTGTTAATGGCTTTCAGAAGCTCCAATCAAGTCACTCAGTAGTTGTCTAAATGAAACTCTTGACAAATCCTTATAAATAGATCAAAAAGCAAAGTTCTGCAGCAACACCACTGCAATCTTCAGCTAATGTTCTGATTGATCCCAACAGAAAGGAAACACTCAGGATCCAGAAGTCTGGATTACAAATGAGTGCACCAATGCACGATGACTTTTTAGTCATCCTGTCAACCTACCAAGGAGGCGAAGGCAGTCAAGGTGCCCCTCCTCACGTGCTATGTCTGATGGGGTGAGAGAGTCAAGGGTGCGGGGCCTGATGGGGGCTCCTCCCTTCAGCAGAGCCTCAATACAAGGGTGAGCACCGACCTTTGCTGCTTCCTGCAGGGCCACCTCATCTGGTACAAGACAACATGTTACATTTCACAGGAGCTGTGCAGTGGCACACATTTTATCTAAAATTTCTAAAAACATATATGAAGCTTTTGCTTCACAGACTGAGCTTGTTTCAGGATCTGTTACAAGAACTCAAGCCAGAGGGGGGTTTGACATGAGACAGACAGGGGCAGAATTTCTTAGAAATTATATTATACATGATAAAGATTACAATGAAAATGCTCTTTAAAACCATGTCATATCCTCTTGCATCATATTTCCTGATATCTGGACATTTGGATATTACACATTTTTCAATAAGAATAGCCAAATGAAGGAAAGTAGGCAAACCACTACCAATCAATTAGAAGAAATTATTTAAAGTGGCAGTTAACACATTTTTTTTATGTTATGTGCAGAAAAATAATTGGAAATTAGGAAGATATGGAGAATGTATTGTAACTGCATAACACACTTGATGGGAAACAAAAGCCACTATGATAGGAGATACTTTTGAGGGATGAGAAAACATCAGCACTTACTGTTGTGAGAGGATCGTACTTGTGGGTTAGCTCCATGATCCATCAGTTGACTCACCAGCTCGGCTTGATTAATACGACATGCATACTGCAACCAATGATTGCAACAGTCAAGCCAGAGAAATGTAAGGAGTTTTCATGACAGAAAAGAATGAGACCAACATGAAGTGGGGTGAGGCCGACACTGTCCCTCACGTTGCATGGAGCCCCAACCTGGAGAAGGAACTTGGCCACACTCACATGCCCATGGATCACAGCCAGGTGCAGGGCTGTCTGCCCATCTTGGTTCTTTGCCTCCAGACTGTGATATCCTGAGTTGATCACCTCTTGCAGAATTCGAAGATCACCTGGGAAGGATAATACTCGATTTTTTTCCTTCTGGCAAAGGTTTGAACTCACCACATACCAAGAAAATAAAAGCATGCAACTGAAACAGCATGAAAAATAAAAGCATGCAACAGAAAATACAGAAAGTCAGGCTACATTTACATCTTGGTCAATGAATATAAGTTTGAAAGGTGAAGATTATGCAGCCATACAAAGTAAAAACCACAAAAATTAAGGTTTTGCTGAGAAATAATTCATTGCTGAATTCTCATTCTCATATTGTTTCTTGAAGAGACAGTTGATACCAGTAATCAGTGTGACAGTGAATAGGGAAATACACGAAGCATTGCAGATCTACTCATCACACCATAATTTCAATTTTTTCTTTTTACTGACATACATCTCACCTATCTCTCTACTATCATTGATGGCAACTTGATTCTTACTCCAGATTCACAGTAAGTAATGTAGCATATGCTTCCATGTCCATGCATAGTTTTTAAGAAACTTCTCTTGTATTGATAGCATGAATCCAAAGATAATGCTACAGCAGTATCTGCAAAGCCTCAGGCTAAAAATGTGCACTGATAAGAATCACAAACCTTCCTTAGCAGCACGATGGAGGAGGTTGGTGCGTCCATGTTTGCGGGTGTCGTGAGGAGGTGGCATACCGATGCACATTCGCCCCAGCTTGAATGGTAACCCATGATCATCCTCTTGATAGTACTGAATCAGTGTGTCCAGTCCATGAATAACTGGGCCCTCATCTGTAGGCAGGAACAAAAGAGATTCAACCATTAAAAAAGTTCTCAAGTACATGTCATGGGAAGCTTTAGAGCCACTTCCCTTTCCTCCCCCAAAAAAGAATGTTTTCTTGCTGGAGAGTGAGGCATGCAAAACTGACTGACTTCTCTGAATCAATTCATCAGACTCCAACCATGAATAACACTTATGGACCTTTCACAAGACTGTAGGTCATGCAGTGCAAGTAGGAGAGAAAAACAGATGCTCAATGGGAGGTTTGGCTGGAGGAGTAAATGAAATTTTTATTATTATTGAAAATTTCTTAAAGTCTCACTAACAAATGTAATATCAATCTAATAAAATCATAGGACTCATGAAACAATTCTTTTAATGTCTTTCAGGATCAACATAATAAGCAGAATATATCAGGCTTAAGAATAAATTGCAAAGCAATAGTGAAAGTGAAGTGAAAGCTTTACACAATCACATGTAATAAACCAGAAAATACCTTCAAGTGACCTTACAGGTCCTAAAGGAGAAAACTTACTGGTTCCAATGTGCATGGTTTAGCTTAAGTGAATGTCATCCTGAGATGTAGAATGGGAGATTAACTCAATTTAATTGATGAGAGAAGTGAACCTCAAAATGCTTTCACATCAACCAATTAAATTTCCCAGGGCAGGCACAATGACTGACATTCATCAAATGTAACATATTGCATTTTCAGTGCTGAGAAGCTCTATTCAATGACAAATGGATTGAAGCATGTATATGGCCATGACTTGCAACAAGAGAGTTCAACTGAAGGGGAGAGTCCAAATTATCCAAAGCAGGCCTATCGAGTCATTCCTTCTTTTTCCATTACGACTTACATGAAAGAATGAAAAATCAGATTGAAGATCACTGACCAGCAATGACTATTATATTATATATATAAGGATTATAAGTTTCACTGACTATTACAAGGTCTACAGGTAAACAGCTTTTCTAATAAGTAAAACTGAGTCACATTGCCCTCTAATCTGGTAAATGACAGATTCATACCTGATCACACTGCAACCTTCAAACAGAATGCACCTACAATTGACAATCAACAGATAACACTCATTCCTAAGAATGCATCAAGCCCACACACCGATGGCATAAAAGGCATCATCTCCCATCTGTCGAATCTGGAAGTGCACCACTTTCCCAGAATTTACCAGGGAGAGGACATAGTCACCAGAAGATGAATTGCTTTCTCGAACCAAGAATGTTCCCTCATCACAATTCCTGTCTGCAACAGAATATACATGAAGAATGAGGAAACATGACTTAACTTAAAACTAGTTGTAGGATCAGTTCTAATGCAAGAATAAATTCACCAGCAAGCACTTTTGAAAATACTCTATCCCAAGTGCTAAGTCTACCCAGTGGTCTCAGTGCAGTGGTTCTAATATGTATCATACCACAATTTTAAAGAATTGTGGGATGCTTTTTCTATTTTCACCAAACATAAAGAATGAGCAAGGAAACTGATTACACAGGAAGGTACATGAAGGAAAGGAAGAAGATACTAAAAGCCAAACAATCTTACATATATCTCAGTAGATATAATAGATATGAGCATCATGATGGTGAAGTTCTCAGTACCAAAACATCTGTTCAGCAGGGAAGAGAGTACCAATTTATACACTCTTATTCTGCTTTATGGTGTCCCACTGATTGGGAATGGAAAAAAACTCCCATGAGTGCATAGTCAATTTCAAAATGTTCCATAATTAACCATGAATAACTCCTGGCAAACTTTCCTGATTCCCAACACTCACATCATGATTCCCTGCTCATGAAGGAGTTACCCTTGGCATTAATATCAGAACTGATCTTATAGACAGAATATCCACAAGACACATGAACACAGACATTTCAACACACAGAGGAAACCTGTGCCTACTTAACACAGGCACCAGAACCAACACCACAGCCATACATGCATGGATGTCTCTTCTGCAGTCCTGAGGAAGGCCTTAGGGCAGCTCACAGGTAACCTGGGTCCATGACAGGCACAAATGATACTTAACCCATTTGCATCCAGTAACTACTCCACTTAATAGCTCTTTATATGGAGTGCAAGTGCATACTGGTATGCTTGTAGATGTGAATGGGTTAAAGTGTGCTGTGCTCAGACTTCCTAGACATGGCATAGAAAGGCATGACACCCCAATACTTAGTCATCCATCTCAGTCAACATCATCACAGTGGGAAAAAAACCCAAACAATCTACGTCATGCAACCATGGAGATAATTCTAGAGAAGGATGCAACATGATAAATTGCTCTGTACATAGAAGGGAAATGGGAAAACAGGGGTAACCTGAGTCTACAAGTGGACTGTCATCTTGATGCCTTTTCAGATTTTGCTTCCACACCAGCTACCTTGGCATCAATTTTTAATAGCAGCCAGGACAGACTGGCAGTTTCCAGAAATGAGCAGGCTGAGCTTACTGTGATTTTTCTATGCCTAGCTTCTAAAGGGACAGAGTCGGGGATCCTTTGTTACTTGAACACCAAAGTACCGCCGCCTTCGCCTTGTGTACACCCCCCTGTTCAGTGCATACTATGGGGTACAGATGTCATTACATGCTTGTTCATCTACACGTCTGACATGGTGTACTCGTCATTGTCGGAATTTCAAGTTCTTACTCGAGTTTCTTATGCAAATCAAAACACACCCCCCCAACAAAAAAAACTGATATGAAATTCCATAGCAGGAGGCTCAATGTCATTTGTTGGTAGGTCGATCAGATTATAAGCTCTTTCACAAAGACATTGTCACTACCATGCTAGCCATAGTAATGTAGTTGCCATTCAGGCAGGCCCAGGACTCCTGCCAAAGTCTTGGAGAGCAGCGGCACACCATCACCTGCCAATTGGTTTTCTGCCAGTCATCCTGGATATTGAGTTAATCTCAGGGTGCACGTGGGAGCAGCGTCAGGAAAACCAGACTTACGACAAAGAGGAGCAGCTCAAAGTGGCGATTCTCCCTCCGTATGATGGTTAGCGAGGTTGGTATTCCTACGTTATGTGCACACACCCCTCACATTCGTCGATTATGTCATGTGCAAACAATGCCTAGACGCATATATATATATCGAGAACTGTTACATTTCGCGTTTCGTATCTCGCATGAATGACAAGAGGCAGCCATTGCTCGAGTTCGAACGCCATCGTCAGGTGACAACGCATTCATCCATCTTTTGAGCATCTCACGCTAGATGCCGCTAAAACCCATTTTCTTCCCTTTCGAGTTTTTCGCATATCCAAATACATACAATGGATAACCCTATCAACCATCATCCTTTTTCATTCATGCCGCATTTTATATATTGCACATGTAGAAATTGCTAAACAGATATACACAGGAAAGGAAGCTGCTTATGTCATGTACTCGAACGGGTTTTTCTATCCGTTGTGACCCCATTCACTCCTTTTTCATCCTTGCCATCAGGCATGAACCTAGCCCCCTCACCTTGGGCCAGAGGACTACTTTCTCCAGCCAGCTTTGCCCTTAAATAGGGGAGGTCCTCTGATATTTGGGGAATCACAGAGCATTCTGCGTGCATTCCTGAGGCATTTGTGGATCTTCTACTCCTCGGCAGTGCAACTCTCGCCTGCCATTTCTTCGTGAAGATGGCCTCTCATGCCTCCTGGAGAGGAGGCCATGGACTGAGAAAGAAAGGTGGCCCCTTAAGGTTTTGCTTCTATCATCAACTGATGGGCGTCGCCTCATGGTGTGAGGGGCTAGGGTACAGCCTACTTTACTGGTTAATGATGTTGACTGCGAGGTTCAGCTGGTTTAGTGTTGCCATCCACGAGAACCTCCATTTCGAGCTGCTTCTCAAGATCAAGAGATTATGAGTCCGGTTTTTATGACGTTTTCCACACGCACCATGAGACGTCAGAATGAGGGGACATCTCAACCGGGCATGACATTGAACACTGGGGATTAGTAGGCCTCCTCGATGCATGGTGAATACAGGGGAGTAGTGCACACGAGATGAAATCTGCGTTGTGAGGGAGTGTTCACATAACGAAGGAAACCCAGAGAGTCTAGGTTATAAAATGAGCAAAAAGGCACTGTTGTTTGGGCTTAAGAGTACTTAGTCACGCCTAAGATGGAATCAAAATAATTTAAGGTTTAATCATGGAAACTCACCGTTGGATAAAAGCCTCGTTTCCGCCATTTCCCTCGACACTTTGCCATGGAACCAGGTGAACTCCAGGTCTTCGCGGCTGATCCTCCGATCGCACGCCCTTGGCGAGACCTTCCCCTCCATCTCCCTCTCTGAGTCATTCACTGCCGAGGGAACCTAGCCATACCCAACCTCAACTTCACAATCACAAAAGCCGATCATTGGAGCGAAATTGATCCACGAGAACACAAAGCACCTGCTCGTCAAGTCCTCTCGGTAAGTAGGTCTAGCTAGGGTAGAAGTGAGCCCTCGTAACACCCCAGACCGCACACGAGACTGACTCAGACTGAGACCCACGGGAAGGTGAGTGAGCAGACATGTTTTTCCAAATATGTCAAACCCCATAATTGAATCTCCAGATTAAGTTGCAATGCATACCGGTGTGACTGCGCCTATACTAGAATAAGATGCTTTCCAAAAGGGCGACTTATTTTTTATTCATGATATTTTGCTGTTTTCTCAGATGCGACTTCCATGAAGAAACTTCCAGAATCACTTCTGGTCCCAAATGTTCATGACTCACTGGGTCGCATCTTGCAGCCCTGTATACAAAAAAAGGTGGGAAGAGATATGAAAGTCTTCCCGGAGGGTTTTTATTTTTTTTTCGCCCACGACTTCCTAGAAGAAACGAAGACGCATAGAAATCTCGGGTCACTCGCATCGGAAGAGCGATTTACAAGTCACACGCTGATCCAAGCGGCTCCACTCCTCCAAGAAAGATCCATCCCTTATATTCAATGAGTCCCGCAAAGCGGAACATACGCGGTCCCGATATCAGAGACCTCGGGCAGTGTCGATGGGGTCGAATTATTCCCGGTACATGGAAAACAGACTTTCCCTTCACTTCGGTGCCCTTAAAATTCGCCTTCCCTTCGCAAAGCCGCTAAATTCCAAAAACAAATCTTGAAAACACAAGGTTCATATGGTCCTTAAAACAACGTAGATAGAATCAATCCATTAACTAATTTCGATTTTGAACTGGAAATAAATATTTATAATGGCGAGACCTGGCACTGTAGCGAACCCACTGGGGGTCACAAAATATGAAGCGAAAAATGCTCGCTACATAGGGTGGTCAGATCCGAGGTCATCGGTTATAACTGACGACAGAGAAGTTGCGTGTTCGTTCTTGATGGACTACGAGGGAGCGTAGAAGAACCCTCTGAGCACGGCAGAAGCGTCTTACAAGGGACGTTCACGAAGTGCGGCGCTCCGATTTTTAGCGAAATTTCTACACATGCAGAACGTAATTATGAAAAACTAAAAAAAAAAAAACTTTCACGTGCCCTCGTTGCTTCCTTCAGACCCGCTAGAGAAACGACCCCTTATCCTAATGGTCCACATTTTTTCACAGTCTTGGTGTTTTGCTGGTTCCGTTTCTCGGAATCATCATGTCGATCCACCCTCTCACCGTTCTGGTAATTTTTTACATGTTAAAATACTATTTAAAAAATTATTCTATCATTGATCCTGTTTTATTTAAGAGACTTTGAAGTCATGCGTCGAAGGGGATGAATTCGAGAAGGAATATGAATATAAATAAAGCCGGATGGGTGGATCGGAGGCCCAAAGCACAAATCAAGCCAGTTCAATATTGCTTCGAAATGGAGATCTTTCGGCAGAACTGTCAAAAATTAATGCGTGATGGCGTTTGCGATGTGGCCACATTCGTAAGATGCTCCCATTTTTATATTGATTTTCATCATTGAAACTCATAATTTTCTAAATGTAATAAGTCAGTCCTTGGGCCACGTGAAATTTTATTAACACTTTACAGCATTTAATCATTATGTACTGCATTTGAACAAATTTTGGCTAAAATCGGAGCGTCCCATTTCTGGTCAATCCAGACTCCAAACTGAGATGGAAGGTGCGTTATTCAGGGATACTGGCACAAATTTGGATGTTTGATTCCATGCATTTTAAATTGATCAAAAACTGACCCCCAACTGCTCAGACGCCACAGATGTCGGTAATTTGTTTGGAGTTTTCATTGCAGCTGGCATCACTGTTCTCCCGGCTAACAAAGTACTCTACGCCTGAAATTTTTTTTTCCCGGGTAAAAAAATTACTCCCGGCAGAGGTTAAGGCAAAGATAACAAACGCGCATGATTTATTGCACGACCGATGGGGGAAAGGAAGTAATACTGGAAAGCTACCTCACGTTGGAAGGGAGAGGGCTTCATCCCATTTCATCCCATCCCATCCCCGCCCCGCCCCGCCCATGACTGAAAAGTGTTACACTTTTTGTGTATTTTAGAACTAGAAGTAGATTCATTTATCATGCAGCATGTCGAAGTTCGTTTCGTCGTGATTGCAATTCTTTCACGCGAATGATCTTCTGTTACATCAGGGAGCAGGCGTTTACTTGACCGTGCTGAAGGGTTCAATTCAATTCAATTTATTATTTCAAAAGGTCAGTGGAGAGGAACAGACTAGCATGAAAATTTGAAAAAATCACAATAAGGCCAAACAATCTGACATACGTGAAGCACTTGTAAACACTTTACAAGCAAAACATGGTGGGTAAGAAAGGCAGATGTTAATGCTTCGTGGCGTTGGTGGGGTCTATTTTAGTACAATATAGTAAATGGGTGAGTTGGAGATAACAATTTAAAGGGATGGAATTCTATAAAGGCATACGCTGGTTGAAAAGGACTTGGGGGGGGGGGGCTCTCTAGAAGAAAATTCATTCAGCCAGGAGGGCTGAATGAATTTTTTGAATGAATTTTTTGAGGGCTGAATGAATTGAACCCCCCTTAACCTGACTGGTAGTCTAAAATAATAACCCAAGCACCAATACAGTATGTATTTGTTTTTGCTTTTTGAGGAAAAAAATCAGGGAATATATGCATCAGATCTATGACGAGAGGCATATTAGTGGATACCAAGGTTCAAGGGAAAGCTTTCTTGGGCTTGTAAAAGCCCGTTTTTATGCAAGGGAATCATTTTGCCATTCTTTAGTAAACTTGGGAAGATTCCCTCTGGAAGGAGCAGTTTATGTGTGTGCACTGGAGCTATAATTAAGGCTGCTGCTTTAACCCTTTAAGTGGTTTTCACATACACCGTACAATCATCACTCGGGATTTCGGGCCGAAACTCGGCGCTTGAAGGGTTAATAACAAGTAGGAATCTCTTCCAGACCAACCAAATTCTAGTTGGGGAGTGTTTACATTATGAACAGAACAACATCTGAAACTGGTGCTTAGAGAAAGGATCTCTGGGCAGGTGAAGGGGAATTGAGATGATTAGGGGGATAGGAGAGATCCACTGCAGTACAGTGTAAGCTTGAACATGCTCTTCTGAGGGATTTTGGGCAAATCTCAACCTATTACCAAACATGCTTATGAAATAAAACATTTCAAGTCCACAGTGGTGTTGCATAAAGTCGAGGTGAACACGATGCAATCAGAGCAGATTGCCAAGATCCACCCAGTGGTAATGTTCCTGAGCTGTTCATTTCACAAATATTTATATAAATACCCCTTTCATTCATGAATATTTGAAGCAAATTCAAAATATGCATTTTTTGTTTAATGTTTATTGAGATACTTTGCCATAGTAGTTGCATGTTCTGCCACTAGAATGAAACCCTGATGATATTATGTGCCCTTGAGTTGACTGCATGCACCAATTAGAGGTATAATTAGAGGTATGTGTACCATGGCTGAAAAGCCATCATCATAGCCTAAAACTTTGCGGTCCACTATAGTAGACATCGTGCACAAAAGGGATACACTGACATTTATTGATGTTTCATTTTGAGGCAGTCTGGGTTGGAATACTCTCAGATGACAGCATCTCAATCAACTGAACGTGCAGCAGGGTTTGTCAGGAGTCAGGAGAGTTAGTGATATCAAGAGGCGATTTCGCCCATTTCGATAACACGTGTCGAGGTCGAGCGTTCCTTAATTTTAGGGTAGGTCTAACCCTTTTAAAGCTATATATTTTTGTTTTGTTTCTTTTTTTTTTGTTTTTTGACTATCCTAGTTGCTTACTGTCTAGTACCTAACGTCAACATTGCCCCCCACCTTTTTGCCTGTCCATGAAAGCATCTAGTTTCTTCTTAAAGATAGTCACAGAAGGGGCAGCCACTACCTCGTCATCTAACGCATTCCACGCGTTCACCACTCTGCAAGTAAAGAATTCCTGTCTCGACCTGAGCCGCACCTGCGGTTTGCGCAACTTAAGTCGGTTACCTCTCGTTCTCTTGCTGTCATCAAACTGGA